TACAAGCAAAAAATAAAAAAATCAATTGTAACGCTACCAATTAGCTAACAAAATTGAAAGCACGAATGATCATGGACTGTATAGGGCAACCCGAAGAAGTATGAAACCTTTTGAACCCTACGGAAATATTTGATTGCTTAGACGAGCATTTCGTGAAAATTAGTACTTTCCCGAACTCCCCTCCCCCGCGTAACGCACGGTACATCCCGAAAAGAGTCCAGTCAGCTGAACGAAGCATTCCCTACTTCTGTTCTACTTTTGATATTTCTGGGGCACAGGTACCTTGTTAAAGACAAACCATGCGACTGCATACTGTTGGTAGTAGCGTTCACTAACAAATGAATAGTCGTTTACTGACTCTCCAAAGAAGAAGAAAGCAAAAAAAGTCATGAAGAACACCGAAATGATCTCCTGGCAGTCTCACTTTACAAATCTTCGCTTTATCCTCTGTTAATACCATCTAGAGGCGGAGGTGGTGTAGTGACAAGTCGCGCTTACCACTCGCGCGGTCCTGGGTTCGAATCCCAGGTCGACACCCGCCCAGGCCAACCAAGCCTTCTACCCTCCGGGGACGGTAAATTGGTACCAGATTCGTCTGGGAGGATAAAACACTGACTTGTACATCGGCTGGCCACCGCAAGTCATTGTATAGGCCACATCGCATTCAATAAGCCACTACGATTCTGAATGGAAGTAGAATGCGTGCCGCATCCCACAAAGGGATTGATCAACGGCGAAGACTTTATCCTTATCCTTATACCTCTTAACATAAAAAAAACAAAAGAGCGATAAAAAAAACTGAACTCTCTGTAGGAGAAGCCTGAGTTTTGTTAAGAGGGACACGTCAGAACTGCCACTAATGAGGGGCAGCACCGCACTCGTTGCTCACTGTGAAGCCGCGAAAGTGCGACGACCGTAGAGACTGCTGACTAGAGCACTTGTACAAAGAAGGACGCCTAAAGATTGCTTCAGGGCGGGGACTGTGTTGAAATAAACTAACTTGCAATAAGGGTTAAAGAGTCTGAAGCTAAACCAATGCACTCACTGCTTTTTGCCGTGCTTTCTTAACACGTTGGAATGAATCCAACAGACCGGCTGGAATTTACGTTCTTTTTATAGTCGAGTAACGTTTTATGTCAGTCGCGTGAAAGATATTGATGAACCCTCACCCAACAAACTTGTCACAGGAAACTAGGCCAGCTACAATCAACAGTTCCGAGTTGTATGAGATATTCACCTCGTCATGGTGAAATGAACTCTTCATCTTCGCTGGCATTATTCACCCTCCTACTCTTGATTGCGGTGAGTATTTACTTTTGTGTTGGAAACCCCTGTTGAGAAAAAGAAGAACATAGCTTTTCATGCAGCTTATTTCAAGAGTCATAATGTCACCTGCGAAAATCAGCTAACTGAACAACTCAAGGACCTTTCGCTCAATAAGGATGGCTTCGAGAAAGTGAAACAAATACATCGGAACTGGTACTTTTTCGCGCTGAAGGCCCTTATGGGACAACTCGCCAAGGAACTGCTGCGAAACATTGATAGCGGTGAGTTGAACACTTGGAGTGGACCTTGAATACTCATTTATCTTTATGCACTTGTTAAGTCATCATTTTTCCGTATCTATATGTCGCAGCGACTAGGTATAGCGCCCAATAGAAACCCAAGAAGGCTCAGGTACCTAGAAGAATTTATCTTTCACGTTGATCAGAAGTTTCAATAGGGGTTTTCGAAACGTACCTACCCGGAAGCCCACCGCGCCCTCTCCCCCCCCCCCTCCCCCTACAACCGTTTCAAATGCTGAATCTGCAAAGTAAAATATGCAAAGGGTTGTTATGAAGCCGCCGCGGTGCTGCGTGGTTTTAGGTTGTCCGGAAAGTTCTCAGCGTTTTGAGTGTTTCACTTCAAACGATCATAACTTTCTTAATACTCATCGGATTTTGCCAATGTGACACCATTCGATAAATCCCATCAAAGAAAAAACTGGGTGGTAGAGAATCCACGAAGTCCATGTAGGCCTTTTTTGCCTGGTCCTGATTGATGAAGTATTTTCCAGCAAGGAAGTTCTGAAAATGTTGAAAAGGTGATAGTCGGTTGGTGAAAGGTCTGGAGAATATGGTGGGTGAGGTAGAACTTCAACCCCCAATTCGTTCAATTTATGGATAGTGATTTGTGAAACGTGTGGGCGGGCGTTGTCATGCAAAAGAATCGGACCCTTTCTGTTGACAAGTGCTGGCTGCAGCTGACGCAATTTTCGGTCGTCGATTTCTTCACAGTAGGACTCTGCTGTGATGGTTTGGCCTGGTGACAAAAAGTTATAGTGGATCACACCAGCCGATGACCACCACTGTGACCATAATCTTTTTTCGTGAGGATTCGGCTTTGGAAATTGCCTCGGTGGTTCGTCGGCATCCAACCACTGTCCGGAACGTCTCCTGTTATCATACATGATCCACTTTTCATCACAGGTGACAATTCGGTCCAAAAACGGGTCGTTTCTGTTGCGCAAAAGCAGTGAAGAAGAAACCTCGAGACGCCAATTTCTGCCGGTCACTCAAATTGTGGGGCACCCACTTATCGAGTTTTTTCACCTTCCCAATGCGTTTCAGACCATCTGCAACACTGGATTTGCCAACGCCTAGCTTTTCTGCAATCTCTCGAACTGTTTGGGATGGGTCAGCCTCCACAAACGCCTTCAAATCCTCGTCAGGTATTGCTTTAGGTCGACCGCTATGAGGTTCATCTTCAAGGCTGAAATCTCCAGAACGAAATTTGTTGAACCATTGCCGCACAGTGCTTTCTCTAACTATTGGGCCCCCACACCTGGTTAATTTGTTGAGCTGTTTCGATTGCGGATTGACCCAATTTATAGTCGAAGAAAAAAATCGTCCGAAGTTGCTCTTTTGACATGCTTCAAAAAGTCTTGGGAAAAGGGGGTTTATCAAGGTGAAACGGCAATTATACCATCAGATAGCGCAAAGAATTCTCTTCAGGATGTACTACTGAGACGCAAGGGAGAATGAGTTTTTAATCAGCAATGAATGTACAAAAAATGGTAACACAAAACGCTGAGAACTTTCCGGACAACCTAATATTAGGTTACAGGAGACATACATGCAGCCGTATCTACCGTAGCTGTTAGTAGCACGATGCATTCGGGATACCCGTCCAAAATCACTTCCTCAGTCATCAAAAACGAAAGCTTTTCTTCGCAGTTTGACCGTTTCACTCCTTTTTTTCGCCGTTTTCTTCAGTTATACACCCTGCTAGCATTTCACGCCGAGTACCGAATTATCATGCCATATGCTTTCGAACTTATAGGGTTCGTCCTCACTTACGCATTAGCATTCGTCACTGTCTTTTGCGGTCGCCATCCACGGCCGCCTCAGAATTTGAGGAGATGACGGTCTGGGACTTCAGCATGTTCAGCTGCCTTAAGTGTTTGGCTGGACATCTTCCCATAGTGCAGAAGTCTTCACCAAGACCTCTAAGTCCTATAGGAGCTCATTCCACCGTTTCCTTCGTTAATTCTCTTCATATTATGACTGGTCCATTGCATTCTTGCTTTCGCTACGTACTCTGGAGGGTCGCGTGGGCAGCACATGCTACGTTAGTCGAAGCGAGTCCGGATCGTTAAGGAGTTCACCGATTAAATGCACGCTCCGCAGATTAGAGGCACGATCAGCTATAGAAGCTGAAAATATGGCGTCGGGAAGGTATTGTGGCCTGCGACGAACAACCCTGTACCGGTTTTGCGGAAAAGCGTAAGCGAGGGACGCTATAACGCAAATAGGTTCAGTGACGCCTCCTTTTTCCAGTGACTCCGCCTCCAGACTCCGCCTCCAAGGCCTGCCTTTCAGTGAAAAACGAGGCTGCAGGACGAAAAAGCATGGAAATCGTCACTTTACGGTCGTAGACTTCTTAGCCTGCGTTTATACTTTGCGGCAGCGTACGCTAGCGTACGCTGCCTTATCGGGGTCAGCTGTGCGGATGAAGGCGTAATGCTGGAGCTGGAGTTAATTGGGCACGTACAAACTGGGATCAGAATGGGTTTCTATTCAGGATACTTAGCATATTCTTCCCTCACTATCGGATTACTCTGAATCTAAATGCAAAGCTCGGATCCACTACATGTGATGGCAGATGATCGCGGGCATTGCCTTTGAACCTCAGAAGAAGCGTTTGAGCGCTTTGTAGAACATTCGCGAAGCTTCTCTGGAAAAGGTGTATAAGAGTGCCAGCTTTTCCCTGGACTTTGACACGATGTTAACTTCGCAGGAGCTGTAGCACTGAAGCGATCAGTCTGCAACATAAGCAGTCCATTGAAGGGGAACATCACTATCATCATCCACCGCTAGTTTACGCTCCACAAAAGGAGGCAATGCATCCGAAGAGAACCCCTGTGGGGACGAAGACAAGCAGTCGGCTTCTGAGAAGTGCTGATTCGTTGAATCCCTCATCGTTGACGGATGGCCCCCTCCGGGATACAACTGCTAGTCCCCTTTCTCTGCTAGCATCGCAAGATGTTTATAAAATAGACATTGAAGTGAGAATTGGACCTTTCCTCCTTCACGCGCTTATCACCTCCGGGGATCATGACTGCATGCCGCCCTGTATTAAAATACTAGGATACATATGTAAGTAGAGTAGAATAGTAAAAGTCTCACATCGTATACAACATATCTCTTATGTATAATTCACTCAGAACTGGCCGAGCGATTGAAACTCTGTCTAAAGCGAATCACTAGTACAAAGGATCTCAAGTTGACGGCAAGGTGCATAACCAAAGCCAAAAGAAGCTCAGAGAGGTTCAACAGCGTTAAAAGTGTAAGGTTGGATCTCTACAGTTTGTCATACTCTATGAAAAATCTCCGGACAGAAATGTCAGAGTTTTGCCAAAGATGCATCTCTTTAATGAGTCCCATTTATGAAGCGCAAACCTATACTCATTTAGGCTCCAGGACGAATTTGCGGTAGCTTTCAAGCAAGAATTCCATAAAATGCCTAAATGGATCATAAATACACGAATATTGGACTTCAACAAGCTCAACAGCACTGCATATTTACCGAGATGGGCCGCCAAAAAGAAAAAGAAGATCCATAAAGTGCTCATTCCACGCAGAAGATCAAAAAGAAGCCCTCATCGCCTTGTTCTACCAAAATCAGAATTTGAGCCTTTGCAGGTGAGAAGTCTGAGTTTTTTCTTCGCGTGTGCGAGTCGCTACCGACGCTTACCCTAATTACAGCTCCCTGAAAGGTCCCCGCTAGTTTCCACCACACTATTAAGTCCAGACGTCTGCACATGTAATCAGTCTCTTCCTAGGTGCTTGCACGCGAACTCACAATCGCTCATTCGAAGACCCGGCGAGGGCCCTGAACGAGGCGTTGGGGATGGCGTCACGAGAACGGCATTAGAACCAGCACAAAAACGAATTTAAAGAGGGAATCCTAATGCGTCTTTAGCAACTAGCTGGGAACTGCTCTTCTGGTTTGCGCGCGAAGCTGAACTCGAATACACAAATATTGGACTTCAACAAACAGCACTGCATATTTACCGAGATGGGCCGCCAAAAAGAAAAAGAAGATCTATTAATGTCGAATGTGTTAAGCAACACCCATAACAAAGGGTTGCACAATTTAGTGCCGTACGAAGGAACTAAACATTACTAGCGCTTGTTTCAGGCAAAGCAAAGCGAAGTACTACCACCTCTATTCGAGCAGACTACGAAAAGTCCCGTTCACAAAGTGACTAATTTATTCGTGTCTTTATTTGGCAAAGTACCCGTGCAGGATCTCTCAACGAAATGGTCGACAACTTATAAGAAACTGGTAAAACTTGCCCAAATTTTCGAGAGCAACGAGAAACTGCCAGGAGCAAGGGTATACGACACGAGAGTCTACGACCTTGTTGTTGGCAACAACGCGCCGAAGCCTTCCGAGGTTGGTCTGCACTTTGCGATTTGTCAAGAGTAAATGACCGACCCTTGCGTAATCATTCTTTGAAAACAAAAGGGTTGTTAGTGGTTTCGAAGAGGGGTTCAACCTCAAGTTCTAAATTTTCTTTCGAAGCTATAGACCAATACATCATGGTTCTCGGTACTGGAGAAGTCTTGCTCGCAGATTTGCTTGTGTTATGGGTGCATAGAAAGGGGACTGTGTTGGCTAGCTGTCAGTCGCTCTCAGCTTCAGCTTTGCCTCTTATTTTTTCGCTAACCAGTGGATAGCAGCCTCTTTTACAGTAGTTCGTCAGGAGAACACTTCTATCCCTCCACTTTAGAATACACATTGGGAATGTCCTTGTCGTTGCAGGTGTTCGTGCCGCCGTTCTTGACAAATGTGTTCAATATTGTGAATTCCTTCAAAGGATCACCAAATGCTCGTATACTCAGCCCAAGGTTCGTTCCACTCATGCCAGACAAGACCGACGCCAAACGAATTCTTTCCCCTTCGTTGTTCCCACTATACAAGGACGATACAGAGGAACAAATAATGCCCGTTCCTAAGGTACAGATTCTTATGAAACTCCGTTACTCAACTCTCTATCCTCAACAGTTCTCGTTCCGTGACTACATTTTTGTGCGAAAGACAACCACCAGTGTAAGCCCCCCAGCGATCAGCTGATCAAGTTACTGATAGGTACTGAATTACTGTAGATGAGCAGTTCATTTTTCCTTTTCCTTAAAGGCTAAACTGTTTAATCGTTGACCTTTCCGTGTGGGAAGCGTCACGAGTCGTCTCAAACTGGAAACAGAATAGACATTTATCGGATCGGCCGTGATTCCCGGAAAACCCCAGCTCCTTCGGATACTATTCGTGCAGCCTATCATTCATGCGAACACGGCACCGACGAAGAATAAGGCAGTGGAATCGCATCGTAAAAAACGATGTAGAAGCATCAAAGAGCAGCGAGGAAATCAGACTAATAGGTAGTCGGGATCGCGGAAATCCAGGTCACTCAACAAGGCATGCCTTGAACTTGAGATTTTCTAGATTTTTCTACAGCAGCCAGTGTCCTATTCCGAAAAATAGGGGACACTGTGGGGATAAATGCGCATGGACATAGGGTGACGCTATTGAGGGCAGCGTTTCTTCTCCTGGATGATCTGTTCCAAGCAGACAATACTGGAGCGAAGAGGGGGTGATTTTCATTTATGATAGACGTTTCGAAGTTAGAAAAGTGTAGTATTTCTCTTTGGCCATTCGACAGCGCCCCCTGAAAATCGATCAATGTTGCGTTCGCTGATCCTCTCTCGTGCATGCAGTACACCGTCTTCGTTGCAGATGATGGGGCATGTTGAACAGGGGATAGACAGGGGTTTGGCACGGCGCCAGCCGGGTTTATTCTTTTTTTAATTTTAGTAGCAGTTTTTACGGTAAGCCAAAAGGCTGTATCATATCCATATTTTTAGCAGTTGTTGTCACTTACCCGCTTCAACAACTGGTGAGGAACGAGCTGGCGGCGCGCCGAACCGACAGGCCCCTCCATGCGCAGTCGGGTGGTATAGAACTTGGTCCTCCCACTCATGATGTAGATTTAGTTTCTGATTAGTCACTGAGACATTTATTGTTTTTCATTTTTTTCACAAGAATTGTCGAGAAAGGGAGAACGGCCAAGAGTATAAGTGAAAAACGTGAGCTTATCGCTGGGGAATGCCTCTGTATGGTCACGACCCCTGCAGACAATAGGGCGTGTGACGGGGCGTGGATCGGAACTCTGCTAAGGCGGACTTTCCATCAATGACGCCATTATGAGTCCACAACGAAGACTGAACAGGAAAGACTGCTCTCGCTGCAATCCAACTCACACCATCGAAGAGCGAAGACTATTGGCTGAATAACTAAGGTATCATCGGTAAAAACAAGGCTCTTATGAGTGGTAGGATTTAAGGCATACGCCGTAGAATTCGAATGGAAACGGCGTAGCAAAATTTCAGATGCTGGAGACTGTGGGCCTGAATGAAAAGGACCGAAAGAGGGTGCTCGAAATGGTCATGGAGGTCAGCGGTGCTCGGGAGGCTGTCGACAACGCAATGAAGGTAGAGGGAACTTTTGAACGGTACTTCGCATGGATTCAATTGCGGTTGGTGACGGCAGATAGATCTCTTTGTAGATACTGCACCATTTGAACTCGTTCGAACTTGGAGAAAAATTCCTTGCTGTCAGTGAGCGGGTAGGTATCCTCCCGATCTTCGCCCACAGATTTTCAACGTTTCTTTAAGGTTGGAGAAAGTTTCGAACGATTGCGAAATTCAATGTCTGCGAGGCAAAAAGACGAATTGAACAAGAGAGGATTTACATTCATGGAGAAAGCCCAGATGCGAAAATTGCACGACGAACAAGGTTGTATTTTGCATATTTTCAAAGCAATACAGTACAAAAAGAAGTACATTATAGGTTTAAATGAACCTGAAATCAAGTCGATAGTTGAAGACTATGGAGCGCTAGGGGAGGATCAACGCGAAGCTGCACTATGGGAAGCGATTGCGAATATCGCCGGTCTCAACAAAGTAGGTGTTCCAGCTCAAGTTCAAATAGTCAACGTTTAGCCAGAAATAGCAAGATCATCTTTCATTTACATAGTCTAAGGCCGCGTTCACAGCCTGCGACCGTGAAGAAATGCAGAAGTGAGGAAAGTGCGGACTCTGCAGAAATGACGAAAAGCAACCGATACGTACCGATTTTCCGCAGTTCGAAATTTCTGCATTTTTAGATTCTGCATTTCTACAAGTCGATATGTATTCATTGCTTATTCGTCACTTCTGCAGATTCCGCACTTTCAGCACTTCTGCAGTTTCCGCATTTCTTCACGGTCGCAAGCTATGAACGCGGCCTAAGCAAAATGATGGCTCCCTACGAAATGACCTTGCACCTTGAGATCAGCCAAGGGAATGTGCATCCTCTCCCCAGCTCGACTGGTGCCGAGGCAATTTTAAATGACATTCAGGACAACTAATTCGATAATCAGTATATTTCAGCGTCAACGCAGGCGCCAGCGTCGACAGGTCACTGTTTTGGCTCCAGTTGTACTCAGCCCGTATCAATTCGCGCCGGTATTAGGGCTTAGCATTCTGGGCCCAGTTGTCCTATCTCCAAACATCTTCTCACCACTCGTCCTAAATCCTTCTGTTCTTGGACCGTGGGTCTTGTCTCCAGCCATTCCGTTACCTTTCGTCATTTCGCCGTATGTTCTTTCACCCTATGTATTGTCACCACTTGGCTTAGCTCCTTTTGTTTTTTCACCCTATGTCCTGTCTCCGAATGTCATCAATCCATATGTACTGTCACCAGTTGTTCTTAGTCCAGTTGTGCTTTGCCCAGATGTATTGTCTCCGATGGCACTCGGAGGAGGGGTGCTCTCCCCAACTGTGCTGTCACCATCTGTCCTTTCGAAGAGTTACCTAATGGCCAGTGTGTTATCGCCATCTTTCTTATCCTAGTCGAGTAGAGAAATTAATTGTTCGAAACTTCGTGATCTTATGTCCAGTTGCTTGGCCCACATTTTTGTCTCAAGTTTGCTCTGATACGGGATTGAAGTGCAAGACTATTTTTCCGTTTTGAAGGACCTATACAATAGTGCTTCTTCATAGTCTGATCTTCTCATCGTTGCCATTCTGTGCTGTGCTAAATTTGCTCTCCAAAACTAAAGGTTTCCAAGGTTCTGTTCTTCTTCAGGAGATGTTGGAAAATTTCCTCGCGAGAATGGAACCATGAGGAACAGGTACCGAGAACTTCATTCTCTGGATCATCGCCGTCCCCACTGCTGAGCAGGTTTTTGAAGACAAGCGGCGATGAATGCTCAAGAAGTGTAGGATTAATACGCCTAGCATTACGGAATTTGGCGCCCTGAGCAGGCGCTGCGTTGCGCCTATCCCCAAGAATGTACTCTCATAGCGCCTTATCAGGCTACAACATACCGACACGCACACCCACCTCGCCCGCCCGCCCACAAATGTCCGACTGATGCTGATGCTCGTATTGCTTCATTTGCTAAGTAAAATATGAAGCGAAAGGACTGATGTGAAGCAGCTGCGATGTTGCACGGTCAAGTAAATAAATGAGAGCAGAGTGAGTAAATACGTGCAGCCGTATACATATATCGGTGCCAACGGGAAACTCGTCCGGTATTGCCTATGGGAAGTCAGGTCGAGCACAGGTTTTTTTTGCAGTTTTTGGTCGTTTCACTTGTTTTTTTCGTCACTTTCCCGCTATATAGGCATCCCTTCTACAGTTTTTGAGCAAGTGCGAAATTGTCGTGCCATATGTTTTTGAACTAGAACCTCGCTCTAACTGACTAATCCAAATGTGATGGCTAAAATCGGGCACTGGCAAGTGACCCCATGCTCCTCATAGCTCTTCAGTGGTCCAGATATGTACATACACAATAGCTTACCGACGTGAACGCCTGACTTTGGGCCCTTCAAACGATTCTTACAGTGGAAGATTTCAAGCTGTAAACCTTCAGATTTACTATACACTCCGATTTTCTTTGTTAACAAGGCTCCCATTAGTGCTCTTCAGCCACGCTCAGGCATGCCGTGCGCTGTCCAAACGAGGAGGCGAGGAGCACTGACCTAGAGAGAATTTCCTTTGGTTTCGTTAGTGTCCAGCTTGTCTTTTCGGAAAAGCACGGCATCGTTCCGATATAATTCTTGATATGTTTTTTCTATTGCGCCAGCGATGTTCTCAAGGTGGAACTATCTATTGTTAGCCTGAAGTTTCGACTGGATGCTGTCCTCAGAGAGACAGTCCACCAGCGCGTAGGTGGAACGACGTCACTCATTATTGGCGATCAGTGAGGTTTTGGTTTTTGTTTTTTGATTTTTCCTGATATACTCAAGCCATCCTACGGCGTTGATATGCAGATAATTAATGATGCGATAAATTGAAGAACGGAACAGAAACTGGTATACAACACATAGCCGATCATAAGTGAACGGGCTGGTTAATAGAGCGAACTTTCCTTGAGTAGATGCGGTTTAACCCCCATATCTCATCCCACGTGAGAGCGGTTTTTGTTTCTTCGCTTTCCAAATGGTCGAATGAGGCTCGTCAACAAAGCTTTAATTCTGATTGTACTACTGCTAAACATAGTAAGTTTAATCCCCAGTGTCGGCCTCAGCACTTTACCTTATCTCCCTATTTATGACTACCATTCAGTTGTACGCAACTAGCAAGAAAGACATAAGGAGTCTGAACGATCTGACGCTTAGCCAGAACGATTTCAACAAAATACGTACCATCCATCACAACTGGTATTTCTTCTCTATCAAAGCTTTACTCGCTCAAATGGCGAAAGAACTTTCTATCGACAGCTGAATATGGTAAGCTCTGAGGCTGCCTTTTGACTTGTATATGCTCTACATTTAGCATTTATTTGTGGTATACACAGTGTTGTTCGCTAGGGGTGATGAGGTTTTCAGGAGGATGGATTTGGCGCGGCGCCAACTCGTTCTCTACTTTTTCTTTCGGCAAGCGACAACACTCTATCATATCGTTCGTATCAGTCGTTTTCCACCAATTGTTGTCGCTTGTTCGCCTAAGAGCTAGTGCGGAACGAGCTGGCGGCGCGCCAAACCCAGTCACCGACACGCCCCTTGATCTGCAGCCAGCAAGGCTGTACTTAGTGATTGAATGTTGATGCTTCCTTAAGACTTTATTCGGACAGCCATGCAATCCGTAACAAAAGTACTTTGCTAGTAGCACCCCTTTTGGCTTCGTTCGTCAAATTATCTGCAGTTAGAGGCAAGGACATATTCCGCTATTCCGTGGTTATCGCTTAATCCTATTAGCTTAGCAGTCACACACTCCACA